CATCTGTCGCCTATTCATGACATCAACACACTGTTCAGTCCTCTGCAGGCTGAGATGACCTCACAGCTGGACAGCCAATAGGAAATGTCCACTTCATTGCCTTAAGAAGAATACTACTCTTCTGCAGTGAAGAAGACTTGATCTGGTACTTCACGTGACTGGCAATTTAGGTAAGTAAATGGGGTTCATTTTAGCAATTAGTTGTGTAAGAGGCATAGGCTAGGGTGGGTAATGCCCAGAGTTCAGCTTTAAGTTGTAAATACACCAGATTGATGGTTAGTCCTTTTTTTATAAATACCTATGCAATACCTTGATAGCTTAACCTGTCAATTTTACATGCTTCTTAAACAAGGGAACCAAATGACCCTCATGTATCCAAAGCATTAAAAATAAAAGTGGTTGTGTTGTCTACAGCAGCCAACTAGATTCCAGGTATCATTTTCCTAGTGGCAATAAAAGGAAGAATTTAATATACTACTATAATTATTGATACCTTCCTTTCAGACAACTCTGATATCTCAGGTTTTTTATATACACATTAAATCAATGGTGGAGAAGGATCTGGGAGTTCTGGTAGATCACAAGCTTAATAATGTCAGGCAATGCCAAGCTGCGGTTTCCAAAGTGAGCAAAATCCTCTCTTGTATTAAAAAAGGTATAGACTCCAGAGAGAGATATATCATATTACCCCTGTACAAATCATTAGTAAGACCTCATCTGGAATATGCAGTTCAGTTTTGGGCACCAATTCACAAAAAGAACATTAGGGAACTAGAGAAAGTACAGAGAAGGGCAACCAAACTGATAAGAGGCATGGAGGAGATCAGCTATGAGGAAATATTAGAGGAACTGAATTTATTCTCTCTTGAGAAGAGGAGATTAAGGGGGGATATGATCAACATGTATAAATACATCAGTGGTTCACATAGTGAATTCGGTGTAGAGCTATTCACCCTGAGGTCATCACAGTGGACAAGGGGGCACTCTTTACGTCTGGAGGAAAATAAATTTAATCTCCAAACACGGAAAGGTTTCTTCACAGTGAGAGCTGTGAAAATGTGGAATAGACTCCCTCAAGAGTTGGTTGTAACCAGCTCAGTGGATTGCTTCAAAAAAGGCCTGGATTATTTCTTAGATACACAGAATATAACTGGATACTAACATTTATAGGTAAAGTTGATCCAGGGAATATCCAATTGCCTCTCGGGGGATCAGGAAGGAATTTGTTTCCAAGCAGGAGCAAATTGGATTGTGTTTTGCTGGGGGTTTTTTTTCCTTCCTCTGGATCAACTGTGGGTATAGGATTATAACTTTTTTTTTCTATGGCTGAACTGGATGGACCTATGTCTTTTTTCAGTCAGACTAACTATCCAACTATGTAACTATGTAACATTGTGAGCAGAGCATGTTCAGTTTGCACAGTCAGCGAGGTGAAGATGTGCTAACTCAATCGTGATTGAGTATTCTTTGCAAAGTGAATTTTCACTATATCGGGTCAGCTAAGTGAAAATTCCTTTGTTTAGCGAAAACTCACTTTTCAAGCAGAACATGCTCTATTATTTTAGTAAATCAGAAACAATGATTCACACTAACATTAAGGGCTTGTTCACATCAGAATGTGGCGCAGGGAATGCTTTTCCACACTGCATTCAAAATGCACTGGGTATGTGATCTGCTGTGGGTGTCAATGTAATCCTAACAACACCCCATATTCAGATCCCTAATGTGGTGTGTTTGCCTGCACCAGATTTTTATGGTACCACAGTACCAGGCGATCCTGTGCAGTGCGTTTTTGAGAAGTAGTGCATGCACTACTTTTGGTGTGATTCAGTGAGAGTTCAGCCCATTGAAATGAAAGAGCTGAAAATCACACCACATTGAGTTGCATAGTAATTGCACAGGAAAGTGGACCATGTTTCTGTGTGTTTCAAGTGTGAACCAGTCCTTAACTTTGGCCCTACTCGAACCCTTAACGTTTAACCTCCCAACATAATGTTTAACCCTTTACTTATGAATCAAAACCTAATCTTTATTCTATAATATTTGAACCGAACACTAAGCTAATGTAACTTCTATATTAAACCCCCTAACCAACACAGCAGAGCTGTCAAAGAACTACTAATTTGGCTTGCTTATGTGATATCAATCGGCAGGAGGAGTCAAGCTGGCCAGCTAACTTTTTCTAAATAAGTCAGCTCTGCTCATTGGTACCCACTCACAACCAATCGTGTTTAACCCTTTGTTTCTTTAAAGTGGTAGTAAACCACCCAAAAAAAAAAAAAAAAAAAAAAATGGGTCCCTGCAGGTTTAAGTCATAATGTACTAGTATGCACTGCACAATAGCACATTATGGCAGCTTTACCTGGATACAGATACCTCCAGCGCAGGGCTGTCATGGCTCCTGGGCACATCCATCTTCACCCGGTCTTCCTTCTGAGTTCTGGCACTTCAGTTGTATAAATGTATAAGTGTGATGATGTCACTCCCACACGTGTGCCAAAGCCCAGGCATGGAGCTCTGAAGGTACAGCACAGGTATGCCCCATCAGGGAGCATGCCATAGTGACGTCACAGGCTGCATGCCGTGTGAATATCTCCTAAAAAGTGCAAGTTTAGGAGATATTCACTGTACCTACAGGTAAGCCTTATTGTAGACTTACCTGTGGATACAAGTTAAAAAGCTGACTTTATTTCCACTTTTTAAGTATAATTGAAGGCAACACTTTTTCTTTTTAGTTTTAGATAAGGTGGAGAGCAATTAGAACATCACCCTTACTATTTGTTCTGTTTATTGTTTTCTCTGAGAATAAAAATAGAAGAAAATCCCATATTCTGGGTTGTTACCAGAATAGAGGGGATTCTTTCAATGAGGACAATAGATCTGGTGACCCTGGTGAAAACCAAGGATTCTCTCACTTTGAAGGGATTTCCTCTCATTTCCTGTTTTAGCTATGGAACCAGAAGTGACAGAAAATCTTCTTAATGGGACAGAGATGGAAAAAAAGGCAATTGACAAGGCAGCAACCCTACCTTTCTCTATCAAAAATGAAAAAGAAAGTTTTCCCTGTAATTCTACTTTAACTATAATGAAACATGAAAAGTACACTTCATTTGAATGACTGGACAGCGTTGTTAAGCCAGCTATAGACGGAGCACTTTTCTTTCCTGTAACCAGGGGTTGCAGGAAAAAATATTGCTCCATTTACCCATCAATACAATCAGTGTTGATGTAGGAATCTCTCCCATGGAGCCACTGTGTTCTGTTGATGAACTTGGGTACATTCAGCCTGTCCATATATAGTTCAAATCTCATCTGATCCCTGTTGAACCGGCCAAGAATCGAACCGTCTATGGATAGCTTTAGTCTGACCCCACATTCACAGGAGTTACAGGGAGCAGATGTGGGTGTAGTTAGGGTTGGGTTTACCATCTGGCACTGTAGAATGTGTACTAGATATGTGACTGGTTGTTATGGTTTATTACTCCTTGCACTATATTTTATGAAAGTTATCTTGAATTTAAACCGGTCAGCTAGGTTTTTTTTTTTTGTGCATAGGGGCATGCTGAAGTCAAGCTTGGTGTTAAAGAGAGTTTTATTGCACACCAGTATCTGACAGAGTGACAAATGCTCAGTGTGAATGTTCAGTAAAATGTGGCTTTTTAATAATGTATAACCTGGGATTTAGGTGTTTTGATGACTGCCTGGAGGACACTAAACACCCTTTACACAAAGCTAGTCAAAAGGCTAACACTAGGTAATGGAATCAATCACAGCAAACAAGATCTGCTTGTTTATAACTATCATTTTACCACACTTTACCTGACATTCCTCAACATATACAACCCCCCTGGCTACAGCATCCTCATTTTCAAATAAAAAGGGCTCTATATGTCATCTTGGAATCTGGAGAAGCTTCTCATAGATTGCAAAATTGGGATTATTTAATAACATAGGGTCTTCTGTTTGAAAGGAAAAACTGTTCTAGTCATCCACATCAAACAGACTTTCTCATGTAGTAGATTTTCAGCTAAAGCCTAACTAGTCTTAAAAATGCCCCCCCTCCCCCCCTCCTAGCATCTATGCTAAATAACCCGTGTAAAATAAGATGTATATATGTATTTACCTATTTTCAGCCCTCTCTGGTCCAGTCACATGATCTGGCTCCCCTGTATCAGCCAGTGGCGGCTGCAGGGGAGAGGAGGGACCACAGACAAAGGCTGCACCATGGGAGGCTATGTGGGATCACCTGACTGAACCAAAACGGGCTGAAAATTAGTATACACATCTTTCTTAAACAGGTTAGTTAGTAAAGATGTTAGGGGGGGGGAGGGAAGGGAACATTTTAAGACTAGTTAGGCTTTAGTTGGAATTCTACTTTAAATCCTCCTATGCTCCACTAGTCTAATGAAAGAGAAAATGTGATTGGTTACTACAAGCTCTGTGCTTCTCTTGTCATGTTTGTATATTAAAACCAAAATGCAAAAAAGCAAAAATGTTATCTGCTGCAACCAGCAAATAAAGGATTTCTAATGGGTTGCTAGTGGCTACAGCACAGCACTGCTTTTTGCAAAAAATACGTTGAAAAAGAGGAATGTATTTGGTGACACAAGTTCATTTATTGTTACTTAGTGATATATTAAAATCAATAAACACACTGTCCACACTATTGTGTTATTTTGCTGCACAGGTGAGGAGCAGTGAGTACAATAACCTCATGTTTCAATGGAAAAACCTGTTGTTGACAGTACTAGTTACATTCACTCGGCACACCTGTAGAATAAGTGACAAACCACAACTACCTCACTTACTATACATCTGGCATGATTCTGGTATAACAATGTGGCTTCACATAGATCAAGAAAGAACATTTTCTGAACATTGTTTGATGATGTTTCCGATCAATGCAAACTTACGTTTGGCATGACCACAGCTGTACTTACTATAGTACGTAGAAAATAGAAAATAGAAAAAAGAAAAATAACACAGAAAGATCTACAGAATTTGCTATTGCAAACACAAAACGAAAAAGCATGTCAACTAACCTGATGTGGATTCTTGGAGCTTTTCTCTCTTCCTTTTCTTTTTTTTACCCTGTAATAGCAAATATAGATTTCTCAGTATACATGTAACCAACATATACACGTACATCCTGGTTAGAACACAATAAAAAGCTAAAGAGCAGATCTACAACAAGAAGGGTCATACAATAGTAGGTCCTGGGACCAGAATTGTGTGTTTGCATGGAACTTGCACTTTTTTGTTAATCCATGTTTTATTTGCCCTACATTGTGTTCAACAGAGGGTGGATAGATGTTGGTCTACTTGCATAGCTTAATAAATTCAGTAGGATGCATGCTGGACACCTCAGAGCATTCAGGTTTAAAGTATATCTAAAGCCTAAACTTTTATTAGTTTTGTGTAGAGTAAGAAATGGTTAAAACTCATGTCAAGTATTTTTTTGCTGTTTGTGTTCCAATGTGGAGATTTCCCTTTACCTCCTATCCTTGAGACAGATCAGAAAGTTTGTGGAAATCATTTGCAAGCAAGTGAGAATACCCCCTGTAACCACTGTCCTCATTGGAAGAGTTCCCAGTGGCACCTGTAAATGGAGTTTCTATCATTTTCTCTCCCAGTGAACAATGGTCACTGCACTAATAAAGGGTGACTTCCTAGCATTCAGGTAGAATTCCAGCCTAACACTAACTATTCTTAAAAATGTTCTCTTCTCCTCCTGCTACCTATCCTGCTTAACCTGTATAAATAAGATGTGTATATTTACCTATTGTAGTTCTGTGCTCCCCCTCTGCTGCAGGGAGTGGAGTGAGCACTGACAACAGTGGGGCCAAGGTAACCTATGAGTGACATCACAGTTCTCTCCCCGGAATCCTAATCCAATGTCTTCTCTTAGATTGTAAGCTCCAAGGAGCAAGGCTCTCCTAACCCTCTTGTATTGAACTGTATTGTTGCTGTATTGTCTCCTTTTATATTGTAAAGCGCTAAGCAAACTGTTGGCGCTATATAAATCCTGTATTATAATAATAATAATTGTCAAGCGTTCCCTCCTATCTCCTGCAGCCACCATTGACTGATCCAGGGAATCACCTGACCAAACCAGAGTGGACTAAACATAGGTAAGTATACATGATCTTTTTTACACAGGGTAGGTGGCACAGGTAGCAGGAGGGAACATTTTTAAGACTAGTTAGTGTTAGACCACAGTCCTTCTTGAAAAACTTGTTTGGGGATTTAAATGCCCACAGTCTGTTCAAAATAAAAATATTGAAGTACTATTATTCACTAGGACACAGTGGGGAAGGGGGTTATCAAAATGGAGCAGACAGAATCTGGAGTTGCTGTGCATGGCAACCAAACTGCTTCAATCTTCATCTTATTTGGTTAATCTTTGAGAAAGAAACTGGTTGGTTGCCATGATCATCTGCTACAGATTCTGTCTGCTTCAGGTTTGATAAATTCCACTCAGTGTTTAGTACTGTATACATTTTATGACTTTCAGTAAGTGCTACTTGCTGTGGCTGCTGGTTTGTATTGTACTAGAACTTGACTCAACACAAAGGGAAAATGCAGCACGAAAAATTCTCTGCTACATTGTATGATGGATAGGCTTACACTGGATGCTCTTTAACTGTATCTTATTCAGGCTATATTTTCTTTTAAGTGACAGGTGCAGCTTCAACACTGCATGAAATGCTTTGATTGGAGATATATGGAGCTTGGTACAACCGACACCTTTTATCTTAGTAGACTCCTTCTAACTCAGCATTTAACAGGGCGATTGGTGGTTGGAGCTGACGACGCACCAAGCACCACCTTTTTAGTATTCATGTGAATATAACCTAAGGCACATCAAAGAAGCTGTATTCATATTAGGACCTAAAATGGCTTTCAGTGGCTTCTTTAACTTCAATCCATGATTTGTCACCTGCAGTTATCTTGACGTACTCTGTGAAAGCAACTGTGTCTTCCATTTTCGAAAGAACCAGATGCAGCATGGTGACCTAGTAGCTAGCTTTTCTGCTTAGCAGCACTTGGGTCCTTGGGCTGAATCCCAGCTTTAAACTTTTCCTGCATGGAATTTGAATGTTTCCCCTATGCTTGAGTAGGTTTCCTCCTACACTCCAAAGGCATGCTGGTAGGTTAATTGGCTTTGTTTAAAATTAGCCCTAGTATGTGTAAGTATGCATGTGTAATAGGGACCTTAGATTGTAAGCTCCTTAAAGGTAGGGGCTGATGTGAATGTACAGCATGTGCAGCGCTATGTAAATTGTCTGTGCTATATAAATTCCTGTAATGGAAAAAAAAACATATTCCTGAAAACTAGACTAATTACAAATGTTATCCCATAAGGCACTTATCTGTGTTTTAATAATCCAATTTCACATAGAAACAAAGCTTCAAATGTTTCCAGGGTAAATAATCGGTTTTACTCTGGACAATCATTTTGGGACAACACAGGCTCAGTCAATATCTCTATATAAATATTTTTTCAGATGACAGCAAATTGCTCCAGAATAAAATGATCTTTCTTGTTTCCACTTGGATACTTAATCTAAAATGATAACGACCAAAAAAAAAAAACATTTAATTTCAACAGCCACAGCATGGACTTGTTTTGTTGTCCATGTTTAACCAGCTGGAACGTCATTGGTACAAATGTCCACTTATTAAGATGAGATGTGTACAGAAGTGCACATTCTGCTGCCTGGTTTGCAGCCAGCATTAATCCCAGCCGTACTGAAAAGCTTCAGTTGTACTGAAGGGATCACAGAGATGTGATGGACGACGGCCAACAAGGGTCAGCATTGCCAATGATGTTACTTCTGTCAGCCAAGGTATATCCCAAGAGAAAAGATAAACCTGCTTGACTAAACAAAGACTCCACATCCACATGGACTTTAAACTTTCCTGGGATAGAGACTGCATGATGTTAAAATATACATAAAAATGTTTACACTGCAACTTGTTGCTAAATGACAAACAACACAACAAAGGTTAGCACTAGAGTGGTGGCTTCTGTCTTATTGGCAGAGTAATACATTGTTTGGAGGCTAGCCCAGTTCCACAGCTGCTACAGACCCTGGTCTACAGGAACTCGAAACCGTGATATTATTTACTCCTTCCGCCATCGCCTTTGCTTCTTTATTGTCGCCCACCTATCACTTTTCACCTTTATTGACCATAGAGTTTTAATGTGGTTTTTTTTGCACGCTACGGTGAAAACTAAAGATAGTTTTTCACAAGGAACTCTGATGGGCATGCAAGAGGCTGCTAGCAAAAATGGTCAAAAAAATAGAGAAAAAAATTGTGATTGCTGTTAAGAATGGCAAGAATGCATCAAACTAAGCACAGAAAGGTGGGAATCTAACCTTACTGATGTGATGATTTCACCTTGATAGGCTGATCTGTCATCTTTTGTCACAAACAATTATAGATCCGATTGTGTATGGCCAATCTACGTTTTATTCAATATTCATGCATTAGAAAATGCATTTTGTACTGAATAAGACCACATTGCTCTATACAAACACATGTACAAGCAAATAAATTGAATGATGCATTCTGCAGTATAGGAATGGGCTTATACTTAACCAGCCCTACATTAATTTAGCTGAAAATCGCATAAATATATGTTGTAGCTATCTACAAACTTTTGATGGCAATATGAACAAATAACATCCATTACCATTTTCTGAAAAAAGTATAAATGAAACAGCTCAGCTGGTAGTAGATCATTGAAACCGGGGCTGTCAGTCAATATTTTTTAATGGAAGACTGCTTCATTTGAGACAAAATAACTATGATTGACAGATTTGTAAATAGTCAAGCTGTTAACATTCATTTAGCTCTACAATGTGACTTGATATAGAGTGCATAGGGATCATATCAGATCACAATATGACTTGAGATTAGCTTGACTATTAACTGTGAAAAAATTCAGTGCCAAATGTATCCCCTACTAGCAAAGTATAAAGACCTTGTAAATGCTGTCAGTTGTTAATCAGCTCATATTCCGGGGTTAAAAGAATCGGATATAGTTAAAGCACATGCCCAAAATAGGCCACCCAACCCTTCTCAAACATGGGTGGCTCATCACTCAAAGTAGACCTGTGCTCAGTTTTTTCAGCCTTGCAGCAATGAATAAATAAAAAGTAATAGAAAAGTCAAAATAGTGAGTTTATCAGGATAAAACAAATGCCTGGGTTATTGGCCATGTGACCAATACTATTATGGAGCCCAGAAGTACAGCCCTTCTATTAGTATTTATCCACCCAAACAATTGTATTTACTAAGTTCAGGCAAAACTTTATATTTTAATTAAATCTTTTCAATAAAAAATATGTTTTAGTCAGATAAAGATGAAATATTTCCATCCAGCAGGTTGCAGCTCTAGATTACTTTTACTATACACACCTTACTGATACCCTCCTAAATGTGAAACATGGAGGCTGCCACTGCTGACATCTGTTTATGAAAACGCTCATTACTAGGCTGCCATACTGACCCTTGGCTTCATTTGTTTTAGTCACTAATCTAGAACCAGTTTGCAAAAAAAAGGACTTCTAACGGTTTATATGCGCATACATAGTCCATGCCAGTGATGTAGAAAGAATAGAAGCTATTAGAATTTTCAAAAGGAGGTCAGCAATGACTGCCTTGTATATCTCTTGTGACATGGTTGCTTTAACTGCCTTGCCGAAAAAAATACATCGTTCTTTAGAGAACTGATATGTTTAAATTCAGATTACACACAATTAGTCCTGTGACTCCATACAGAGATTCAAAAAGAGAGAGAGACAGTCTCAAAGGAAGAAGATAGTGGTGTTATTCTTTCACAAGTATCACATTCGTTAGGTCAATAATATTGGATGATATAATTTTAAAAAAATGATAAAGTGGTATAAAGCATCAGTTTAAAAACATGTAATCTTAAAAAATATAACAAGGCTACCAAAAACTATTACACTAACATTTAAATACAAACCCATTTTATACTAATTAGACCACATATGAATAGGTAATTAACAGATTGAGATGCTGAGATGAGCAGAATGAACATACTACTGGATTTTCTTATCCATCTATGCAGTTCAGTGGATTCTGATTAGAAGGGCCACTTGTGACTTCCTATGCACAGAACAACTATCAAAGCCCTATACAAGAGCTTAGCATGGCTAAAAATTCTACAACCTCTAGTTATATTTACATTGTACAAGCATGTGCTGATGTGACTTAACTGCCCTGCCTGATTTATATTCCTGGTCTGGGTCTGAGTTTGTTTCTAAAAGAACAAAGATTGTATTGCTCTCTTGGAAACAAACCCAGCCCTAGGCCAGGCTAGACCAACAACTTGGATGGATTCATGATCATTTTGAAATGGATATTTACTATGCTATACAATGACTAACTAGCAATAAGGTTGGAGCCTCAGGCACTCATTTTGAGGGAAAGATGGAATATACTTACATAGTTGTCTCTTGCAGACCAGCCTGGATAGAGCTGCATGTGTAGCTGCCTTTCTTTGCGGGCTAACTCATAGTATTTGGCCTGTTCTTCACGGGATAAAGCATGCCACTGCAAGAAAAACATAAAATACCGCACTGAGCATATCTGAAATGCAGAGTGATATAGACAGTATAATACATTCTTTGTAATACCAATGTACCTATGAACGATAATCATGAGTAATTCATAACATATGACCCTTTAATAACCATTGAATGGCTACAAACATACATAGTGAGCTGGTGTTTATGAAGTGATGGCGCCGCTCCAAGCTGGAGCTCAATAATCACCTCACCAGTATGAAAGGGGAGCGGTGTCCTGAAATGTCTCCAGTCATGTGGGCGCAATGTGAGAATGGATGCCGTTCTAACCACTCCTAGAGTAATATGTAAAGAGGCCACACCCTCTGAGGTCCAGAGCAACGACTAAGGCCATCTTTAGATAGGACTGCATGAGTGGTTAGAGTGGCGTCCTTTCTCACATTGCGCCTAGATAAATACATAGAGTGAAGGAAGGTAATGCCTCTATACAAAACCTGCCACCTTGGAACTTCCAATATAACTAGCTCCATCTTGCCCAGTGGATTATGAATGGATTTTACCAAACCTCTGCAGGCTCCCTGTGCTTTCCTCCTGATGTAAGTCTGTCTAAAGATCCCCTAGTCTGATGTGTAGAAGATTGAAAAGCCAGCTCACTTCACACAGTGTCCAATTTTAGACTCATCCGACTAGTAGTCCCACACTTGAAGCGAACCTGTAGTAAGAATATATGTAGCCTACCATTGTTGATTTCCTTTTAAAAAAATACATGAGAACTGGCTGCCAAGCTTTAATACCATCACAGCCACAGACCAAGTATAAGCATACAGAGTTAAGTCAAAGCAAAATGAAAATATCTGATCCAGTGCTAGTTCCAGGTCTGTGCCTCAGAAAGTATTAAATCCACAGGATCAACATTCAAGCCAGGCAATTAGCAGTCCCGAAAACCGAGGGCATTCATGACATCCAACATATTATTCTCGGTACTCTCAGTATCCTTATTTCTTGTGTAGAAGGGATTGATTATTGAAATGTGATATAAAGGTAAAGCAAATGCAATTATTTGTTTTTGCTATATATACTGTATAACTGGTGATTTTTTTTTACACATCTACAGTGCATCAAGTTCCATTTAAACAAGATAATATATATATTCAAAATAGATATACTAGTGATTTTTAGATAACTAGGCTGTACATTTTGCAAGAGATGGTTTCCTTAGCTTAGTGAATAAGGTGAAGCTCTGCTGACTTCCATCATGATCCAATCATGTGCAAGCAAAAATTCTGTTTTATTCTTATTTTCCTTGAATGTGATTGGGTTGCAAAGTGAATTTTCACCATGTTCACTTCCACCTGGCAGCACAAGAGCCATTGGTTCAAATCCCAGCCACGGTTTGTATGTTCTCCCTGTGCGTGTGCGGGTTTCCTCCGGGTACTCCGGTTTCCTCCCACACTCCAAAGACATGCTGGTAGGTTAATTGGATCCTGTCTAAATTGGCCCTAGTATGTGTATGTATGAATGTATGTTAGGAACCTTAGGTTGTATGCTCCTTGAAGGCTAGAGTGATGTGAATGTACAATATATATATATATATATATATATATATATATATATGTGTGTGTGTGTGTGTGTGTATGTATGTGTATGTGTGTGTGTGTGTGTGTGTGTGTGTGTAAAGCATTGGTAAATTGACAGCTCTATATAAGTACCTGTGATAAGTAAATTAAAAAAAAATATATTCCTGTGCAAAATGATAATTCCCCTGCAAAGTGATCTGCCTATTTGCCCTTAGTGAATCAACCCAAATTAAAAATGATGTTGTGTTTTAATACCATAATAATATTAGACAAAAAACTTTTATAAACACAAGTAATACTACTGTTATATTTATTTATACTGCTGCCAGCATCGTATTATATTACTTTAATGTCCAAAGTCCACTAAACAAGATATAAAAAGAACAAGAGTGTGCTTGATAAAATCTGTAACACAATTGAAATGTATAGACCTGTACACATGGACTGCTGAATTAACATACTGCTTTTTCTTTAACCAGAACACCATTTGTAAATCCTTTAAATGGGGTCACCATAATCCATTTTTCTGGTTGGTTTTCCAGCCGCCAGTGTGACATATATGTCCAGGAAGTGAATAGGCGTTACGTTGCCATGGAAAATACTATGTTGGCTGTACATGTTTTAAGAGAGGAAGGCCTGATTGCCTTAGGCATGGAGATTAGATCCTTGAAAAGGGTAAATCGAAATGCTTATCCCAGACAACATTCATTTTGGAAATGTTAATATATAAGCAACTGATTTACAGGAGAAGAGAAATCAATATTAAAGAAAATGGCATTAACAAGAAATGAAATTTTTGTGTAATTATAGCAAGGTAAAATGTCACATACATTATGAGTCTGGAGGTATAAGTGCTTGTTTTAGTGTGCAGCCACCAGAATAACCCAGTTCATATGGAAAGAGCCCCGGGTCTACAAGATCTCTAGTGGCGCCTAGTCATTAGTGCCTTATCCCCACTCTGTAAAAGACACCTAATTAGTTCTTGAAGTGCTCCAACCACTTTTAATTACATACTGATGTTTAATAACGGTATTAGCACTTCCTTAACATCTGGAGCGGATCTGCCTGACTATTGATCTGGTATAACAACATACTTCATGCTAAGCGTGCCTGACAACCTGAGAAATGACTGAAATTAATGAGTGTTTTCTACACTATTAAAATGTAGTAAAGAGCTTATATTATTATTTCATTCCCTGGTGAGCAGAGTTTTATCAACTTTTTATTTATTAGCATAAGTGAACACTCTTGCCTTGTATGCTTTGAAGCTCATCATCACCAAAAGCCCCATCTGTCTATATTACAAAAATAATTCTCTCCAGTAGACAGCACACTTATAGGAAATGGCTAGTCTAAGATTATATATTTATACAAGGCATTAAGATTACCTTACTTGATGAAAATCATTTTACAGTGATTTGCAGGATGCAGATAACCAACAACTTCAAGTATATCTAAAGCAAAACTTTTTTTAATTTTGGAAAGTGGAAGGAATAATTAAAACCCTTGTCTGATTTGTAATATTTGCTTTTGTCCATATTTGTCCCATTTGGGAGATTTCCCATCACATCCTGTCCTGTAAATACAACAGAAAATGATAGGAAATATCTTCAAAGTGAGGAAAAGCCCTATTTAGACAGCAGTTACAAGAAATAGTCCCCAATGGAAGATCTCTCCTCTTTTTCTTTTCTCAAAATTTTTCGATCTTTCCCTTGCTATCAGTCTTGGTGACAATGGTTGGCAGGACAAGTAGAGAGGATAAACCTCCCCGAGGGGGGGGGGGGGGGGCATAGACAGCAATAAAAACCTGATAGGAGTTCTAATCCTTATCTACTCACATTTTGAAATTCCTTTAAAATCCAGACTTCATAAACACATTAAAGCCAATTTAGGAAGAACACATTGCACCTGCCAGTAAATTTTTTGATCATTTGCCCTATCCCACCAGAATATATGGGTATAGGGTTGTAATAAAGGTAAATATCTAAAGTAGGGTACACACTATAAGAAAATAGGATTGTTAACAGCATGTTGTACTTGAGGGTGGTACTAATTGTATGAAAATTCTTGAACAAAGACTTTTTTTTTTGTTGGACGTAGAAATGTTGAACATAAATTATATTGTTGTTTACTGTTTCCGATCATGCGCAGTCTTTCATATCGATTTTTCTTGTGCAAGACAGTACACATTAAATGAAAATTGTAAATTCTGTTCAGGTACGAGAAAAATACTGGAGTTTGTCCCTTTGGAAATTTTCATTTGGAAGGTCTGAATCAGCTGTTAAAAGTTGTGTACACACTATCAGAAAATAATACGATCTTATTTGTACCAAAATGTTTGACCAATGTTCTTATAGTGTGTTCACTTCTTTAAAACCCTACTCCATCCAATGTTTTTTAATTTTTTTTGGTGAAATTACAAAATAAAACAAATATTTTTATTGTTATGTCCCCACTGGGAAGAATATACTTTGAGGACCCAGACAGCAGAAAGCAGAGGGTTTTTTTTTTAGCTAGCCTTTAACAATATTCAATAGGAAATCAGTAGCAGTGTTTATGTATAATCTAGATTCACAATTTAAATTATAATTAAAACCAAGGACATAAATTCAGTATATTACTTAGATGTATTACTTAGATGGTGGCTGCATTAGTTTCCTTTATTCAGGCTAAGGACATTTTCTGCAAGTACAGAAAAATGTGTGTTGATCCTCTCAGAAATCTTGTGTTTCTATTATTATTGTTATATTGGATTTTTATAGTGCCAATAGTTTGCTCAGTGCTTTACAATATAATTTTATAACTTCTTGTGGATTGAACTGAAATATCTAACAATGCTATCAGCTTTCCCAGTATATTCAAAGCAACTACCCTTTGAACTGCAATTAACAACTTTTAGGAAAGCAGACCTACAGTGACAACACTGCTCTTTAATAGATACAGTGTAGTGAATAAATGTTGTCACCATACGATGGAAAGAACGGTATTGGTAGGATTACTGGGAGAAAATAAAAATAAATAAATAAAACAAAAAAAACAAAACAAAAAAATGCAGCCACCACCTGTTTTACAAACGTATACAGGTAAAGATTTGCATTTATCAAACAAATTATTTATTTAACATGTATTTTTTTACATTTACATGACTATACTAATATGTACATTATATTTTTAGTGTGGTTCGCGTGATGTCTAAAAATAAGCACATGGCTGAAATGCTCATTTGTACTTCATTTGGATAAAACCAGAAGAAATGTTCTTCACAGTCATGCAGAGCAAAAGGGGGATAAAGCATGTAAATGTAGAATATATTGATGGCTCAGCACAGACATCATGCTGTGTATTCAAACTAACTCTGAAGCCCTCAAAACTTTTCTGTTACAGGTCACTGTTAGTTCAGAGGAACATCAGACAACTAAGAAGATCTACTCTACCAAAGTTCTTCACAGTT